GGAGGGGAGATTGTGGCAGGAGGGAGAAAGAGGGTTAGCTGGTTCAGGTCCTTTGCAAGTACATTTGGTTTGTCTGGAGGACTCCTAGGGTTATACCTGAGATGAAGACGTCTAGAGGACACTCCACAGCTCAATTAAAACGCGGTTGGTGTTTCTGTGCCCAGAAGAGCCCTCCCTGCCGGGACGTGTCGGTCGTGCTCGCACCAGGCAGCAAGAAAGCAGCATCCCTCCTCTGCTCAGCACGGGGCTATCTGAACCAACGCTTGGCTGGGGCATCCCTCATGTGTCGAGGATCTCGCTGGTGGGCGACGGCTCGTGAGGGATGCCCTGTGCGCTGTGGATGGTCTGGTTGTGCGAGAGGGAGTTCTGCTGGAGCTCCAGGGCAATGGCATTCTGGGGGAACTCCTTCACCTGCCGCTTGTACTCCAGGAAAGTGCACGCCTTGGTGGCAATTGCGATGATGTTCTTGCCAATAAAGATAGTGGAGACCCTGCTGTCCTGGAACAAGATCATGTTGATGGCCCGGATGAAGATGGTGACGATGTTGATGGTGACCAGGCTGAGGACGGGGTAGAGCATCATTTTTTGTGGGGCAATGTGCTCCCCTTGCATGCTGATCTCACTGAGGGACACGCAAGGCAGGATCAGGAGGAGTATGTAGCAGTAGAAAAACATGAGGCCCTCTGCCCAGATGGGCAGGCCAGTCCTTTGTGGCTCCCACAGATTGGCCTGTATGTCCAAGATATCCAGCAGGTCGAGGGCCACCCAGAAGAGGCGCCCCCGCAAGTCCTCTTTCTTCCGAAAGGTCCGTATGTATTCCATGCTGTCCAAGGCCACCAGCACCAGGTAGAGCCCTGGCACACAGATGGAGAGCAGTAGGGTCAGGGCTTTCCTGGCCACTGTCTCCAGGTTCTTCTTGTCTGCTTTGTAATTCTGAAAGATGAAATACAGCTTGATCTCCAGCACGAAGATGTAGAGGAACCACAGGATCATGGCGTAGCCGCGCTTGGCTGTCTTCACCTCGGCCCCCACCCACACGGCCACGTAGCGCAGCACGATGAGGAAGCAGATGTCCCCCACCAGCACGATGATGCAGACGCCGATCTTGCGGGGCCCCTGGTTCTGCTCCACCAGGTAGGCGTCCATGAAGGCCATGCTGGTCATGATGACGATGGTGGTCAGACAGACGTGGCGCTTGTCAGGTGGTGGCAGCACCATGGTGAGGCGAGCGGCCCTCCGTCCCTCTGCACCGGCACTAGGGGAGCGGTCCTGCCGGCGGTGCACGGAGGGACATCCACGGTGAGCCCAGGGACCAAGGGTCGCTGAGTCCCCCACCCCCACCCCAGGAAGAGGTGCCTGGAGGAGCAGAGGCTCTGCTGGCAGCCCCGGTCTCCCAGGGCTCGGGGCTGTCCCTGCAGACCCTACCCCAGCTCTTCGCCCTTCGCTGGCTGTGCCCTGCAAGCACCGCGGCTCTGCCCCCAGCCCAGGGCTGGGTGAGCAGCCCAGCCCCAGGCACCCTCCGCCACCAGCAGCCAGGGCTCACGGACGTGCAGGCCCTCCTGAAGGAATGTCCCTCCTCTGTAGTGCATCCCCCATCGCTGTCAGGCTCTCCAGCAATCCTATGGTACTAATATTCTTCCAGGCTCCAAGCCCTAAATCCTTGTATAAATCCCTGGAAACACAGTAGGTGAATGGGCAGCAGGCAGAGAGGAGCTCTCCCTCTTCCCAGCAAGACTCCACGTTCCTCCAGGGCCTTGGGAGGTCCCGCTGTGTCCTCACAGGGAACCACCTTCACGCCTATCCCCACAGGGCTGTGCTGGGCTCCTGCTGCTCTGAGCTGTACACGCATCCCTCCATCCCTGGAAAAGACAGAGAATGAGTGTTAGGGTCCCTCTGTGTACTGAGCATGGGACGGTGAGGATGACATCCCCCTCAGCTCCCAGCACACCTTGGCATGAACTGGGCTCCCACCAGGTACCATCCCACCGCAGGGGTACCCACCACCGTGCCCTGTGTGTGACGATGCAGAACAGCTCTTTATTGAGTATGAACACAGCACAGGGTGTCCTGCATGGAAACACAGCATGTTGCCCTTACACAGGTACTCTCTGTCCAAAACTCCTTGGCAAGCTCATGCTCTGGGTGCTCCTGCTGTCTCTGCAGGAGACACACGAAACCACAACGCCGGTGGAGACAGGCAGGCTCACAGCACCCCAGCTCCAGGTATCCCAGCCCAGCCATGTCTCAGCTGCAGTGCAGAGAGAGGCTCAAGTGCTCTGCAGAGGTCCCAGCCTGGGGACAGTTCTGCTAAATTATGGCCACGGCATTCCAGTTACTGAGCAGCTCACAGGGTGTGGGGCCATCCCTCCTCAATTAAGGGTGAGGTTAGGGCTGGCACATGGGGGATGAAGCAAAGCTGTCCCAGTGGTGGCATGAGGTCCCAGCAGCTTTCTGGACTGGCTCACGGCCACAGCTCCTTTTCACCATGCTGCACTCGGCTAATTAACTTGTTAATCTTTTCTATGGAGGGAACACAGTCCCAGAAGTGAACATATCCCAGTGCACTCAAGAGTGCTACCAAACTGCTCAAACAGAGATAGATCATGATCACAGCCAGAGATGCCCATCACATGCCATGTGACAGCTAGTCCTATGTGCATAGCAGCTCTGGGGAAGTGTGTAACCCCACAGATCCCCCTAGAGATCCCCCCCAACTCATCCTGTGGGACCTGGCCGCTGTGGTCACGTACTCCCATGGATCCTCACCTCTCATGCAACTTGCACCTTGCCAGTCCTCCATACCACACCCACTGGTGGAAAGGCTGCCAGGCTGCTGGGTCTGTGAGCACTCCCTGCCCAGCCTGCTTGGGTTAGGCTGAGTCTTGTCCTGGATTTGGAGGGCTGCAAAGGTGCCAACCTGAACCCTGAACATTCCTTGGGGCTCAGGAGCATCCCTTCTTACAGGAGGGGAACCAGGACCTGCTGAGAGCCCTGGGAGCTGCCAGAGATACTCAGTGGCACTGCTCCTGCTCCCCACCACCTTACCAAGGACACTCACAAACCTGAGAACTCTCATCTTTTAGGTGGAGGTGGAGATAGAAGGGAAGAAGCCAAGCCCAAGGAGATGTAAGCCATTAAAAACCTGCCCTACTTTGCAGCTGCTTATGTTTATGGAGCCTCATTTAAATTAAAGCTGGATTCTCTCCTGCTTCAGGGAGAAAAAAAGAACAAAGAAGAGAAAGTGGGAAGCCAGATGAGTCAGAGCCAGCCCTGCCGTGTGCCTGAGTAGGTGGACAGCAGGGAAGTGTGTACCTGTGCCCTTGTTCCCAAAGGATGTGGCAGGAGTGGATGCGGTGCTCAGTAAACGTCACAGCACGGGACTTAAACACACTGCCCCAGCCAGGACCTTCAGTTGCTCTTCTGCCGCCCTACTCATGCCCAGCAGAGAAAACTGGTGTGTTAAAATAATTTCTCAAGCAGGAATTGCTCAGAAAGAAGCCTAAAATGATGTGGGAAGTCATGACTACCGCTACATGGTGCTTCCCAGGCAAGGCATTCCCTGCAGCCCCACTCTCACCAGTGCAGTTCTCTGCAACGTCTCGTAGCTGCTGTTTGGGGCTTCAGTTTGTTCCTTCTTGAGCTTTCGGATAAAAATATACAGCCATTGCTGTAACTGCTTTGAAACTCATGCCAAGTTTTACAGGGGATTTATAGCCAAGGATGGATAATTCCAGATAAATTAGGTCTTTCAGGAGGGAATGGTGGGTTTTTTCTTTCACCCTGCAAGTATTTATGCCTTCAAAAGGCAGCAGTTATTTAAAGGGCAGTGGGTTGCAGCACAGCACAGTAAGGTTAGGAAGCAGCTTGCTGGTAAATTCTGCTCTCTGCCCTGTGTTATTCGTGTGGTCTGGGAAGCTGGGAGAAGGCACAGCTCCCAGTCCAAGCTCTCCTCATGCCTTCATGAAAGCAGACTCAAAACCCCTTCCTGCCTCTCAGCAAATACCCAGGGCGTTGAAGGGTGTTAACTCACCGTGTTTACAACAGCAGCCAACAAGTCTTTAACCACCGGTGCTGAGGAGATCAAATGGCAGATTCTTCCCTCGCATCTGCTCCTGAACAATTCACGGCAGCTCGGGATGGGTTTGATAAACATGTCCCTTTGTTGTGGCGACCTTTTGGAGCAGAGGAAGGGGATGGAAGGGCTGAGATGAATCACAGGGCTCGAGAGCTGCTTCCTCTTGGGTTAAATCGTACCTTACCCAGGGTGAGCACCTCTCTTGCCTTTTGCAAACAGTTTCTAAGCACTTCCTGTGGTGCAAGCCCTTCTCCTTATTTTCCAGCTGTGCAATAGCTGTTTTCCCCACCTCTTGCAGCCCCAGTGCTGTCTGGAAATGTCTCTGCCCATCCATGGAGCAGATCTTGCCCATTTGATTGATGTGTGACCATCCTACCAGGGAGGGGGCACGTAAAACTCTCAGAGGACTATTAGAGAAAAGTAGGTAGTTTTTAAACAACTATTAGTCCAGGAAATCCTGATTTATAACTTTTAAATGACTGCATCTGACAGTACATTCAGAAACTGTTATAAAACTGTGCTGGATAAACAAGACAAAAAGCATTACAGAGAGCCACAAGAGCACATCTGAGGCAAATATTTGCTTAGGTAAATAATCTCAAAACTTTCTTCCTGCAGAAATTCTTGTAAATAAAAGGCAGCTCACCTGAACATAACAAGCTTGGAGCGTTATGCCAGTGAGCCAAGCTGGCGGCTTCCTCTGGGATGGGATCTAACAGCCTATGTATCCTGCTTGGTGCCAGTTCCCCCACAAGCAAGTACTGCAGCGATGCTTCAGTCTTGGCAACCATGGGCTTCCTTACCAGGACAAAATTCAATCCCTAATTGCATATTCTCCTCTAATTGTACCCTACACAAACAGCTCCACTGCACTGGAGTGAGCAAATGCCCTCAATAACACCCACAGCATCGTGGGACCAGCTGACGAGGCTCAGCCCAAGAGCAGCATCCAGTCTCACCAGTGAAGACCAGCAGCATGGCATGAGGATAGGCAGCATCATGTCCCTCTCCATTACTGGGGTGTGCTTGGGGGTTCCCCATTTCCCAGCCCAGCCTGCCCTTTCCCAGCTTCCCCGAAGGATGGGAGAGGCTTCAGTGGGAATGGGGGAGCTGTGATTTCCTGGAAAGATTCAGGGGTCCTGCAGATGGGTCCAAACAACTGAAGGGCAGGGTTTGCACTCTCATCTCTGCCCTGTTTCCTCTGGCACTGAGGGAAAGTGAGCAGGATCAGAGCAAGCCAGCCTCTCCCCTATTACTCTGGTGCCTCTGCTCTGGCTGAGGAATTATTTCTTGGTCTTGCACCAATTTTTCCAGCCTTCCCGGACACTATAAAGCACCTGTGGTTACCCAAGGACGTGCAGTCACAGCCTTACTTCACCACCAGCCCAGGCAGTTTGCAAGAAAATTAAACTGTGCTTTTTCCTGCAATGCTGGTGGCTCATTGCAGTGTGTGATTAATTACCACCAGCTCTGCCCTTACCGGCGTCTGCAACCCGCAGACACCCATCACAGTGCCCTCCTGCACCCTCTCCTGCCTCTGCTCACTGCCTGTGCCCAGCACCACTGGCACAGCACCAGACACTGCACCCAAGAGTGGTGGGGGTGCAGGGACATGCCGGCATCCCCACACACCCGCACAAATCCCACCTCCCTGTTTGGGGAGCAAGGGGCCACAGACAAGCCTGGAGGGCTTGTGGAGCCATTGGCAAAACAGTCTCATTAATGCCAGCAGGCACTTCCCAAACGCTGGCTCTACCCGGCAAATTAATTTAAATTATTTAGGTAATTTGAATTCTGTCTATAAAAAAAAACGGGGGAGTGAGACAGAAGTACACACAACACACTTCCCAGGTAGTTAGGATGCCGCATTGCTTAAGGCTTCATTTGCACTTTAATTGCTTTGATTTATTCCAGCTTTCCTGAGTGTAAATCTGAAGCTCCCCCTCGCTCAGTCCTTCAGCTCCCTGGAGAGCTGCTGCTCCACCGAGCCCTTTTGCTGGCTGCCATGCCCTGTCCCCAGTGTGAGGCAGGAGGAGGACTTGCTGGGGACTAGGGTGCAGCTGCAGCAGAGCCACCAAGGCCATGGCATTGCTCTCTGGCAGCCGGCTGTGCTCCAGGGAGCAGCTGAATTGCAGCCAAGCGATCTGCTCTTGGCAGAGGTCAGGGCAAGGAAGCCTGTTCAAGGCTGTACATCTCTTTCATGATTTGTGACCCCAGAATTATTCGTGAGCTTCACGCAGGATGTAAGGATGGGGCTTACAGGCAGGGCAAATTCTCCTCTGACTGAGAAAAAACTATAAACTATGTCATCTCCATGCCATTGCATGTTCCTGCTTCACCTCACTAACAGTCAGTGCTGGTGGGTGTTTGGTTCAGCCTCACTGACCTGCAGGCTGAGATTTCACCTGCCCACCCCACCCCGGCAGTCCCTGGGGACTGGCAGAAGGAGGATGCTCATACCCTGTGGGAGGTTGCTGCTGGGCAGCAGCTGCACCCTGCCCCCTCCAAGGCATCCGGGATCTCAAGTGCATCCTGTGAAGGAAATGAGATTGAGGAAGATTTTTCCGGACCCTGCCCACTAATTGTGTCTGAAGGAGGAAACAGCCCACTTGCTAATGATTACAGATAGTTTACTGTGTAGGCACATTAAGAAATGGGGAAAGAGCTGCAAACTGTTCCCAGAACCTGCCCAAAATGAACAATGCAATGTCAGACAAAACCAGCTCCTGCTTACACCAGTGAGTGCATCAGCTGTGCTCTCATGCTGCAAACAC